CATTTTCTTCACATGTAGGGCATGTAAGAGAAGCTTGCAAAGTGAGAGACCACATAATACAATGACAAGCACAGAGAAGAGGCAAGACTATCCATTTCCTAATATGCTACATTCCTGATGCCACCTGCTTGTGTCTTACGGTATTTGGCTGCTATTAGGCTCCTATCCACCAGCAAACAATCCAAAGAAGCTTTGTCTACATGGAAGATTCCTTCTTTGACTTGCGTTGAATAAACAAATTAAATGTAATGGTTGGCATGTAGCATAATGGTTATACGCTAATGGCTTGGAAAAGTCAACAGCTATCCATCCATCCTGTCCCATACCCATGACCCCTACACATCGCAGAAGGTTAGGCCTTTCTACCATCAGACAAGTCCTGGCTGCTGCTCCCCCCTGGTTTCTCACCGTTGCCCTGAGGGATCAGTGACAGCCTGCTGCCAGGTCCACATGTGTGTTTTCTGATTGTTAAATGTAGGGCAGCCACCTGGGCAGAGAGGAGCCAATGAGCAATCCCCCTCCTCAAACCCTAACTAACCCCAGACACCTTCAGGCCATGGGGTTCTCTCTGCTTCAGTTTCACCTAAGGAGTTGCTATAGGTTCTTGACATTTTGACATTCTCCAAGAAAGAATAGTGTAGTTTCCACTGTCAACATCCTTTATTCTTCACAGTTCTATTTGCCCAAGGGGACTTCAGGGAATCCAAGCTGAAATGGAACTTTCCTGGTGGACCCTTTCCTATAAACCAAGGGAAACCATCAATGAAAACACACAACCTCCTCCTAGTTTATGTAGCAGCCTAGACTGAATTCCAGACGCCCTGAGAGGCCCTTGGTTGCACCTGGTCCAAGAGGCAACATTAGGCCTCCTAACGCCTCAAGAGCAGCATGACCATTCGCTGATACAGCCTCAGGTCACTGGAGAGCAGGGTCCACAGGCAGAATTACAAAGGTAGGCTGCTGTGGAAAGCACTGGTCACTAGCATGTGAATTCTCCACAAGTGCCTGCAGCACCAGGCCTCCCTACTCTCCTCTTGAGTGCCCGCAGAGCTCTGGTCTGAAATCCCTGCACTGGTTGACCCCTAATGAGTGAAATGCTCTTCCCCAGGTGTCCATATGGCTCACTCTTCAGTCCCCTTCAGGGTTCAGCTTAGCATCCCCTCAAGGAGGCCTTCCCTGGGCACCCTATATAACACAGCAATTCCCCGCCCTACACTCCTTCTCCCCAGCTCTGATTTACTTTTCTCCATAGCACTATCCTTACCTGATATATTAAAGATTTTACTCCAGTTTATCCATTAGATTGTAAGTTCCTCTATTTTGTCTGTTTTGTCCACTGCTCTAAAATATCTAATGCCTAGAACAGCGCCTGGTACACACACTTAACGTATTTGTTGGAAGTTGTTAAAAACAAAGCTGGATGTTAACTAAAAGCAGTAAAGACAGGTGGTATTCAGGATGTACTGCGGAAAGAACTAAAGTATAGAACTGAGCTCAACTTCAATCCATGCAGAGGTGAATGGGCACCTTAAAGGAAGAATGAGGGGATAAGGAGGTGACAGGTGGAGAGCTCAGAGTCAAGGAAATGGAGAATTACAAAGGACTGGTCGGGTAGTTGGTCACTGTCAGTGTGATTAGGCTCACTGAGTGTGCTAACTGGCATTTGTCAAAGTTAGGCTCCTAACCTCCCACAGAGATGGGAGACAGGCCCTCTCATTCCTAATGACTGTATTTCAAAGGAATGGCTGTCAGGTCCCTGAGAAAGACACTCCTGGGCTGTAGGAGACACGCAAACATGTTAAAAGGGAAGAGAAAGGGCTATAATTCTAAATTATTCTAATAAATGCTTAATAAAAGGAGGGGGGCCTATCATCAGGTATTGGCTGGAACAAAGGGTAAGTTCTTTTGGCAGTCTTGAGATTTTTCCAAACAGGAACTCAAGGGGTCCTGGGTCATCCCAGGGACATGGCCTTAGGCTGTTAGAAGCCCTGTTGGAGTTTTTGCAAGTCTCTTATTGTTGGGGTGGAAAGGGCTGTTATGAAAGTTGCCGTTCTTATAGGCCAAGGTTCAGCTCTAGTCAAGAAGAGAGCTCAGAGGAACCTGACTAAAGTGTGATCAAGGAGAGAGTCTCTATGGATGGATGGATGGATGGATGGATGGATGGATGGATGGTTGGTTGGATGGGGTATAAAGGTTGGCGGAACAGGGGTCAAGATAATAAGATCTGAAGACATCCAAATTCATATGTAAGTAGAAATCACTTCAGAGAAAAAGAGAAAATCCTCCACTCTTCAACAACTCCTTCTAAGCATGCCTGTGGTGAACAGAATATGGCTCTCATTTACTCATAAAAGCTGCTGATGGGAACAACCCCATTGTTTATCCTATTCCTGCCCAACCTGCGTTTGTTTTCTGCAGGATAATTTCCAGACCTGAGTTTGCTCACTGTTTAAAATTCTTATTAGAGACAGAGGCTAAGGAGGTTACAGAAAGATCTCCTGTGGAGCTAATACTACCTGTTCCTATTAACTTTTTATTAATGAAGCATCTTTGGGTAATTTTGTCTTCCTTTCCCCTCGGCAGCCCACCTCTAAGATGTGGAAGAGCTTTAACTCACTTTCCTCCCTTCCCCATTCCTGTCTCAGTTCTTCTCTACCTCCAGCTTTACACTCAGATCAAAAAAGTCCTGCTTCTGTGGAGTTGGTTCTCCAGGTAAATACCTGATCTCTGTATCTCCACACAGCCCTAGGATCAGTGGTCGGCAAACTCATTAGTCAACAGAGCCAAATATCAACAGTACAAAGATTGAAATTTCTTTTGAGAGCCAAATTTTTTAAACTTAAACTATATAGGTAGGTACATTGTTATTAACTTAATTAGGGTGCTCCTAAGGCTTAGGAAGAGCCACACGCAAGGGGCCAAAGAGCCACATGTGGCTCGCGAGCCGCAGTTTGCCGACCACGGCCCTAGGTGATAGCAATCTGCATTTTCTCCACAGGCCAGCTACAATACTGACTAGAATTATTTTTCTTTTCATAAGACTACAGACATTAAAATAAGAAAAAGCACTTTTATAAGTTAATATTTGAATGTAATTTGAAGGCAGGGTGGATTCAGGGTTCCAGGAGCCTTATGTTTATATAGTGGGTGGTGAGTGGAAGAGCTTTTTTAAATGAGTAGTACCCGCCTCATTTAAAAAAGAATCTAAAATTACAAACACAAACTTAGGTATGACCATGTGAGCATGTTGCCAGTGGCCTGCTCAGGGGCTTGGAAGTAGCCTGGGTGAGGGGTCCTGTAACTTAAGATTCATTAGCTTTCCAGTCAATTCACCTCGACTAGGCAATATAAAAGATTGGAGAGGTTTACACCGCAGCACTGAAATCTGTAGAAACCCGCTAAGTATAACAGTCTTATATCAGTCATCTAGATACTATTCTTATCTCTCTTTCACAAACCTCCATCCCTGCTGTTCCCTCTTACTTGATGGCAACACTCATTATGAATTTGTGGGCTGGGCTGGGTTTGTTTCCCCCTCCCCTATCGAGGCTCTCACAATCTAATACTGTGTCAATTATGTAACAGCCAAAAGAGAGAGTTTAATGGAATACAAAGCAGAGTTGGAGTTCTTACATAAGCCTCATAAACCATCCATAAGATCTGCTCCCAGACTGGGGTACATTGGATTACATAAGGTAGTTGGGAAACACTGATGCAGCAGCCAGGTTTATTTCCAACCTCAGAAACAATCGAAGCATTCTGCACTTAATTTAGCAGTATACATTAAGATGTAATAAGTTTTGAATTAGGTGAAAAAGATAATCTTTAATATGACTTGCTTATCTTTTCATGTTAACATAAAGGAATCTCCTGACACTGCTATTCAACTTCCCTGTAACCTCTGCACAAAGAAATGTCCCCTTAGGATGCCCCTCCATAGTCTACATGAAATTACAGGTCCCTAATAAACATCAACCATTCTTGGTTTTGTTTTGTTTTTTATAAAATCAAGAAAGATACTTAGACAAAATACAAAAGTGTACATGCTATAATTCTTCAACACATCTTTCCAATACCAGTTTTCTCTCCCCATATTTCTAACCACTTATTTTTTTACTTTCCTTAAACCACTGTAGCCACACCTGGGACTACAAAGTGACAAATTAAAAAAACAACAACAACAGTGCAATACAATGGGTCTCACCCCTGGCTGCACATTAGAATCACCAGCAGAGCTTTTAACATTACAAATGCCACAGCACCACCCAAAACCAATTAAAATGAAATACTGGGGTGGCGCACAAAAAGGGGATGCCTAGACATTAGTATACCTGGTGCTTTCTACTTTTCCTTCTTCGTACCTGAAAAAATAAGAGGAGAAATTTTTGCGGGGGAGATCTTTAATAACTGGCAGCTCATAATTAGTTTCCATCAGATATAAAATATCATTCTATAGTTTGAAAGCCATAAAGGATATCTGTGGGATCCTTTTTATTACTATCATAATAAAAAAAAATTCACCAACTTTCTTTAGCCTTTAAAAAAAACCCTATTTTATTGGTCAATGTTTTTGCAATTCTACCTAATCAGTTCAAAGCAAAGGCCCTATATTATCTTAATGGATGTCTCACGCTAAGACCCTGCTTATCCTCAAGTAAAGTTTTGGGTTAAAGCAGAAATGACGGTTCTCATTTATCGTCAACCTCTCACACCTATAACTTTACCAATGAGCAAAATATGTGTTAAAGCCCTTACATAACAGAGTACAGGCGCCTTTGGTGTCCTGCCAAGAGTACTTCTTTCCGTATTTGTATTTAAAATAGACTGGTAGTAACATCACTTGTGTGCCTGAAATTCCTTCTGTGCACGAGCTCCGAATGAAAAAGAAAAAAAAAGAAAAAAAAAAGGATGTAGCAACCCGCTTTGCTGTTTTGCCATTATAAACCTCAAAGGAAATAACACATTCTGACTAAATTAAGGCGAAGACACAGAACAAATTATCCAAAGCTGGGGGTAGGCGGTGACTCGGTTAACTAACCTACCATCCTTTCCAAGACGGAGCCTGTTTAACCTGGCAGCATGCGAGGTGCCTACTGAGCTGCAAACCTGGGCCCTGGCCGGCGGGGATGTGGCAGGCCAGCGTGAGCATCACGGTGAGAGAAAAGGCAGATCAACGCCCGCTGCCAGGCTGGGCTGCAATCCCGCCCCAACTCCGGCACCTGTCTTCCCGCAGGTCTAGGAGGCAGGACCAGAGCCCAGCCCGCTCTGCCCGACTGTGCGGAGGGATGCGCTCACCTGGGTGGGGCAAAGCCACGGAAAATGCCCAAGAAGCCACCACTGCCTCCATGAGAGTCTCACCCCGGACCGGCTCCGGCACGCTCCCTCCTCCTCTGCCTCCTCATCCAGCTCGTTTTCTATTTAACCACAGGTCTGGGCTCCGCTGGCCGGCCGAGGACGTCCGCAAAAGGGGGCGACAAAGTTGCCAAGAGAAGCCGGCAGAAGTGGCGCAGGTGGAGGCGCAAGAGACGCCCCCGCACCTGGGACCCGCTCGCCGCCGCCGCCCCCGCGCACGCCCGCCCGCTCCCGCGCTCCCAGCGCCGCCCGCCGGCCGCCGCCCGCTCCAGTACCGGGCAGCGGGACGCACGCGGGGGCGCCCACCGGACGTCGGGGTGCTGTCCGCCCGCCGCTCGCACTGCCCCTCCGCCTGCCTTGCGCGGACAAAAGGAAGCCGCGGGGCGGTGACGGCGAAGCCCGATCCCCGAGCGCGTCGCGCAGCCCGCGCTGCCAGCGAGGTGCGATCCGCGGTGACAGCCGCCGGGCGGCGAGCGGGGCCCCGCGAGAGGGTGACGCGGGCGGCAGTGTCGCGCGCCCCTCGGCGGCCGCCGGGAGGGAGATGCACACGCCGGGACCCGGCGCCTCCTGCTGGCTCCGGGGTCCGCAGCCCGCAGCCCCCGGCCGGGACCCGCAGCGCCCTCTGCCGCCTGCTCCAGCTCAGGGCGGGCCGGGGGCGCTGCGTGGGGCTGCCCATAGCGGTCCCAGAGCGTCCCCCCCCCACCCCCTCATCCCGAGGGAAGGAAGGAGGAAGACAGAGGGCGGCGGCGACAGGGTAGGGGTACGCGAGAGTGGATCTGCTGTTTTCCACTTAAAACAGAAGAGGGAGCCCCAAGTGAATTAAGAGCAGCTGGAGGAATTGGGGTTCATCCGTGGGAAGAATTTGAAGGACGGGAAGGTTCCGGATTCACAAGGAGCCTAGAGTTGATCTCTTGAAATATTTTCGGGAAAGGCTAGCGTTTCTTTCTAGAATCGGGTTTATGTAAGTGTGCCTGGCGCTGTCTGAGGGGTTCTGAGAGCCTTGATGTGATGCTGTGATGAATAAATAGATGAATGACCTCGCGAGGACCCTTGGGGACCCTTGGGCCTCCTGGGTGCACCGAGGAGGTTTCCCTTAAAGGCAAGCGAGTTCGGAGAGCGCTGTTCCCTCCACTCCCCACGGCGGTGGAATAAACATTTGTCTTTATGACAATGAAAGGGGACTGGTCCTTGCATTGTTTAGGTGGTGTTGTTTTTTAAGGGGAGTGTCTTTTTCCAAACTGCCATGGTAAGCAATATTTTATACTATTTAAAAAAATTTTAACAAGTTGGTCTACTTGGTGAAGGGAAGTCATGAAACAGCACCCTTTCCCCCCAACCACTGTCTTTTAAAATTATTCTATCAGTTCTCCCTTCTCTGCTGGAAGAATCTAGGGCAGATTTCATAGCTTTTTCTGTCACTTTCAGGTGTTAATCAACAGTCTGATTCTTTGGTATTAAAAAGTCCAGTCCACTCCAAATCAAAATGTCAGTCCCATCCCACTTAAGCCTCCCGGCTACCTCCCCTAACTCTTCCTAACCCCCTAAACCTTCCCCCTCACCCCTCCAGCCCCACCCCTGTCAGCTCCCAGCCTGACCCAGCTCAGAGCCTGCATGGGGAAGAGAAATGTCTGGTTTTTCTTCCTTGCTCTGTATCTTCCCAGCTAGCTCTGTGATGGTTGGTAGCTCCAGAGTGGCAGCATGGATATGTCCCCTGCACCAGGCCCTGTTCCTCAATTCCAAGTCAGCTTCTCCTCTGGTGGCCTGCCTCACAGAGACCCTCTGCGGGGTCACCATGCCCTGGCAGGCAGACCCTGCTACCTTCACCCACATCCCTGCAGGTCCCTGTCACAGCAGCATACCCTCCTCATTTTCTGCTCACAGGCAGCTCTGACCAGCCTCCCTCCTTGACGGTTGTTGTGTAGAAATCAAGCAGCCATCTTTGAACTCATGCATGTCCCCAATGCAGGTGATACATGCCAAGGTCTCGGAGCAGTTTTCCAGAAGCACCCCTTCCTTTGTGTGACGTGGCTGGACACTCCCTCCTGTTCCTCACGGCACCTCATAATCCTCACTACCCATCTTCTCCTTGGTCCCTCCCCCCTTTTCTTAAATTTGGGCAGAAAGCAGCCGACCCCTTACAAAGCAAATCATCCAATGCCTCTAATTAAAATATGGAGCCCTGGCTGATGTGAGTATCATCCAGTGCCCCAAAAGTTCGCTGTTTTGATTCCCCATCAGGGCACACGCCAGAGATGCGGGTCTGCATATGAAGGGTCAGGGTGCATATGGGAGGCAACCCATGGATATTTCTCTCTCACATTGATGTTTCTCTCCCCCCCCCCCCAGCTCTCTGAAAACATATTTTTAAATAAATTAAAAATAAAATGAGGAGACACCTCTCACTGTGGCCACTGAGGCATGCCACTCAAATCGTGAGGGAATAACTGACAGCCTCCTAAACAGTGCTCACACCAAGGCTGAGGTTCCCAGTTGTCCCCAGTCCAGGGCTTTGCATAGTGGGAATGCCAGAACTGGGCCATTTCCACCCGATGCAGGAACCCCATAATGGGCAGCATTTCTTCCAGAACTCCCCATCACCTGCCTAGGCTCTCAGCTCTGCCCTGCGGTCTGAGGCTCCTCCTACCCCACCTCCCTCCCTCCCCTCTCCTTTTACAGGTGTCAGCCCTGCATGGCAGTCCGAAGGCTCTCCTCGCCCACCTGCCAACCTCCTTTCTCCTCCTGCACCCTATACAGGTGTTTTCTCAGTGTATTTTCCCCGCATCTAATCCTTCTTGGCATCTGCCTCTCAGAGGTCCCAAACTAGCATAGTCATCCGCTGTTCCCAGCAGATATTCCAAGTTCCATTTTAACATTTGGTTATGTTTGCATTTAGAAAATAAAAGAAGAGTAGAGTGTTCTTTTGAGAAAATCAAAAAAGATCAGCAGGTATCTTCATATACGTTCCCCCAAAACAGAGCCTGATAGAAGGAGCTGGAGGTGGAGAGGTTATTTTGGGAGGTAATCCCAGGAAGCAGGAGTGATGAAGTTGAAATATTGAGACAGGAAAGTATGAAAAGGTGTGCTATAAAGGTCACTGCTATTCACAAGTACTCAATATAGCAGGGTCTCTGGGAAGCTTACAAAAATCCTCCCAGAATTGTCATTTCAAAGATGGGGCCTGAGAGGTGACCATCTGGCTCTTATTCTCTGTAGATGGGACTTATTTAACTCCTTTGCACTTCCCTTCACCAGGGCTTTAGAAAAGACACTGAGGCAGAAAAACAGTGCCCAGTGGCAGCATTTTGTTGGGGGAAGGGGCCACTGTTGACTTGAGTTCCACTCCCAAGGGAGGGCCATCAGAGCTATGATTCAAGGGCAGCCAAGGAGATGTGGTGCAGGCCATCAAAAGTGTCTGCCACAACAGGTCTCAGGAGTCTTTCCCCCTTGTCTCCCCAGACTGAGGGGCATGTAGGTGGCCAAAGGCATCTGCCCTGTGCAACTCCAAATTGCTAAAATGCCCAGGGTAAAAGAGGAAGAAAGGGTATAGCAATGTTGCGAGTCATGAATGACACTTGGCAGGAGACTAGTGTCTTGGTCCATCCACGCAGTGGTAACAAAACTACCTTAGACTGGGTGACTTATACACAGATGTTTATTTCTCCCAGTTCTGGAAGCTTGAAGTCCAGGATCAAAGTGCCAAGTGACTTGGTATCTGGTGAGAGCCAGCTTTCTAACCAGCTGTCTTTTCACTGTAACCACCTAGACAAAAATGGTAAGTGAGCTCTCCGGGCACCAATCCCATTGAGGAGGGCTCCAACTTCAGGACCTACTCACCTCCCAATGGCCCCACCTCCTGATACCTACCACCACATTGGGGGTTAGGTTTCAACAGCTGAATCTGGGGGGCACAGACAGTCAGAACATAGCAACTGACTGACACATAGCAGGATCTTATTAGGGATCAGTGCCTATGGGAAGGGAAGTAGACCAGGACTGGACAGTGGGAGTAACCGGATTGTGATTCAAGCCCAACCTGGCATCAGCCAGGCCCAGGTTACTCAGGGGCTCATACAGAGTGGTGTGCCGGGGCCTGCTTGTACTGGCTTGAGAATGTCAGTTGTTAGATATTTAGGCATTTTGTGAGCCAGTTGTTAAATACAGCTATCATTGAAGATTGATTAAACTTATAATTTTCTATATATTATATTAAAAACAAAGTTAACAAATCACTTCCATTATTTCGCTACATTTATATATGCTCTTGAGTCTTTTTACAACTCAAATATCTATATGGTAGCAATACTACAGTGTGGGGCAAAATAGGTTTACAGTTGTGAATACATGAAACACAGTTTATTCTTGTATTATTATTTATCAATTATTATATTACTAGAGGCCCGGTGCACAGATTCATGCACTGGTGTGGTCCTTCAGCCTGGCCTGCAGGGATGGGCCGAAACTGGCTCTCTGACATCCCCTGAGGGGTCCCGGATTGTGAGAGGGTGGTTCTCAGGTGATGCACCCCAAATCAGGCTCCCTCCTCTCTCTACCTCCAAGTCACCGCAGCTCGGCAGCTCCTGCATCTGCCCCCTAGTGGTCACTGTGCATCATAGCTACTGGCTGGACAGTCAAATGGGTGGACAGTTGCTTAGGCTTTTATATATAGAGATTTTACATACCAACAACTGTAAAGCTACTTTTCCCCACCCTGTATATGATAATGTACTATTGGGCATCTCTTTCCAACTTCACATTCATGGTATTGCTTTTGTAACTTTAAGTCACCCATGGGATGTGTATTTATACCACAGAAATTGGCAAACACTACAAATCAGGGTCCCCCCCCCCCCCCCCCCCGCCAAGGAACCAGGTGTTACCAGCAGTTCTCAACCTGCGGGTCACAACCCCTTTGGCGGTTGAACAACCCTTTCACAGGGGTCGCCTAAGACCACCTTGCATATCAGATATTTACATTATGATTCATAACAGTAGCAACATTACAGTTATGAAGTAGCAACAAAAATAATTTTATGGTTGGGTCACAATATGAGGAACTGTATTTAAAGGGCCAGAAGGTTGAGAACCACTGTGTTAAACATTTACAAGCACACCACTGCATATATGACATGGTCAGAGCTATTCCAAGGTGGGCTAAATGACTAGATTTTTATGTCCCCACCCACATCGGTCCCTGGATGTGAATTCTCTGGGGAAGGTGTGCTCTTGGGGGAGGGGGTATCTTCAGGTGAGGCTCACAGCACTCCCCCCAGCTGAGGCAACAAGTCCCTCCTTGCAGGGGAATCTGGGCTACAAATCTCTGGAGCCTCCACAACTGGCATAAGGTCAGTTAGAATATTTTCTTATTAATTCTAAATACTTCTTACTACCTCTACAGGTATAGTTACATTCATTTGTTTCTAATGTTGTTTAGATGTGCCATTTTTTCTTAATCTTTTTCTCTTATTTCATTCTTCCTAAGATTTGTCTGTATTTTGACTTTGTTGAGTCTACTGTTTTTTATTTACAATTTTACTAATTTCTGCTGTGATTATTATTTCCTCTCTTCTGTGTTCTTTGGGTTTATTTTATTGTTCTTTTTCAAACTTCTCAAGTTGAAAGCTTAGCTCATTAATTATCCATTTTTCCTTTTTTCAAATAAATTTTTCATACATTTTTCTGTGTGGTGCTTTCAATATCATTAAATTGTAAATTTCTATTAAAATTACTTTTTTGCCCTGACCAGTTTGGCTCAGTGGATAGAGCGTTGGCCTGCGGACTCAAGGGTCCCAGGTTCAATTCTGGTCAAGGGCATGTACCTTGGTTGCGGGCACATCCCC